ACGTAAGTGTACTCTCTTCCTTATCTTTGCTATTGAGAACGATGCTCTTCGCTTAATTCTAATACCATTTTTGAAGTGGGAGGTGTTGGCAGATTCCCAGGAAGTGGTGGATTTATCGGCGAGCGAAGTTACTATGTGAGAGGACGCCTCGTTTGCGGCATTCAAGGAGCACAAGGAGCTAGAGTTTCTTTGTGGGAGAATAGAGGTGGTTTGTTCCCTTGGATTTTTTTATACATATAACACTTACACACTTTTGCAGGACAAGGATCCCCATTCATCTATGAAGAGGCGATTGTCGATGCTGGTGGAAGTTTCTATGTAAAAGCTGAGATCCGCAATGGTATGGGATTTTCTGGTGCAAGTTCCGGTGGTTATCTTACCTTAACCATCACCCACAGTTGTCAGGTTAGCTACCTCACAACTTTGCTACTGGGGTTGCCCTTATTTGTAAAGAATTCAGGGCCAGCGACAGATGAGCATCGAACTGCCAGAAACATATTTCAACCCAGGCATAGTACCCATCAAGACTTACGATTTGGGTAAGAATTTTAACATCAAAGAAAAAAAAATCACGTTTGAGGAGGTTTTACTTTCAGGAACGATTAATCTTGAGGGTAGATTCTTGGGTGAAGGAAACAACGACTTTGGAGGAAACAGCCGCTTGGGTCGAGGTGGCAACCACGACTTTGGGAGAAGATTTAACCCTGGTGGATTTGGCAGCGGACTATGAAAACTTCACAATGTTATTTGACTGTACATGCATATCTCATGTTTATTACTAGTACTGAATAAAAATTAACAGCACTCCGCAAGAAAATCACAGTTAAAATGCCTGTAAAACAATCGGACACATGTCGTCTGAGAGTCACACGTGTATCTAGTAAGAAAATGCAGTAAAAAAACTGAGTTTCAGCTTGATAGAGCTGAAGAGTCGATAAATTTCTAAGGTTTCGCACTAAATCGTGCAACGCAATGAGGAATCTGATAACTGAGAGATAGTGTATCATGAGGAAGAAAACAATCTGGGGGAATGCAGCAAGTTTTAATGAAAGCCATAAATCACGTCCAAGAAAAGAGGATAATTACAAATGTGAGATGGCTATAATAAAAAACTCAATATGTTGAAAATGAGACACATTCTATAGGTGAATAGTCGAAGAGCAGAAGAGTAGAGAAAGATTTTCCATGCTCTTACA